AGCAGGGAATCCGGAAGCTGCTGAGGAAGCTGTAAAAAAAAAAGAAAAGAAAAGATGTTGCCTATCTTTAAGGGAAGTTCCATTTTTGAAGTGTTATATGTTCTTTTCTTTAATAACTGTATCTGCATGCCTTTCTTCATTTTCTTTTATTTTAACCTTCATTTTATCTTATGTTTAATTTGACTTCATGGCATTGTGGCTACACATTGGGCTACTAACCGAAAGGTGAGCAGTTTGAAACCACCAGCTATTCCACAAGAGAGACAGGATTTTCTACTCCTGTAAAGAGTTACAGGCTCAGAAATTCACGGGGCCAGTTCAACCCTGTCCTATTGGGTTGGCAATGACTCTGTGGCTGTGAGTGTGGTTTTTGGTACATGGCTTTCTAATCCTCATTTTATTCTATTTTACCTGACTTATTTTATCTAAGGTGCTCTTTTGGCATAATGGGTTACAGGCTGGGCTGTTAAACACAAGGCTGCAGTTTGAGCACACCAGGAAGGCACTGAGTCGGAAACAAATCAATGGCAGTCAGTGTTTTAGAGTTCTCCACAGGGGAAAGACGAGGCTTTTCGCTTCCATAAAGATGAACACTTTCAGAAACCCCCCAGCGGGCAGTTCTAGCCTGTCCTACAGGGGTTATAGGACTTAGACTTGAATCCATGGCCGACAGGCTTTGTTTTGTTTTGTTGTGTAAGGGCCTACAGTGGCACAGTGAGGTAAGTGTGGGATTGCTAATGATGATGTTGTCCGTTCCAACCCACTAGCCACACCTTGGGATAGGATGAGGTTATCTGGTTCAGAAACTCTAAACAGAGTCACTGTGAGCCAGAAATGATTTTACAGCACTGCTTTTATTATTGATTTTAAAATAAAATCACATGGTGATGCAAATGTTTAAAGTACTCAACTGCTACTGAACGGCTACACTTTTTTATTCAATCAGAGGCACCCTGGAGGAAAGATCTGCTGATGTACTCCTGAAAAAAAATAGCCGCTGAAAGCCCTAGGGAGGACAGTTCTGTTTTGACTCACTGAAGTCATCGTGAGTCAGAGTTGACTTGGTGATGAGTAGTATATGATTATAAGGAAGTTTAATCTTTCAACCAAATGCCAAGCACCATCCCTATACCACCACGGCCTGTCCATCCTAAAGACGAATTAGTCTCCTATTCATTCCCTCTTTTATTACCCTATTGACTCAGTACCATCCTGACCTGTGGAGTGTAACACTTCCCACAATTTTACAGGCATGAGACTTCTTGGATTTGCTTTTCACAGATAAGCATGTTTTGTACTTTTGCTGTACATCCTCACCATGCAGCACATCCTCCAACACAATTTCCTAGCAGCAATCTATCTCTTTTGGGGAACATCTTAAAACCCTCAAGATTATAATTTTCCCAAGTATCATTTTTATAATTTTCCCAGTTGGATTATTCTACTTTCTTCTATATTGAAGCTTATCTTTACTAAATGACTTGTATTAAATTTAATTTTTATACAGTATTTAAATATTTGTTTATATATTATACCAATGATCTTCTCCTCATCTTACATTTTCTGTTTGGCCCTAATACACTTTTAGTGTTTGTTTTCTTTACCATCTTAGCCAAAATTAGGAGTTTCTGGCACAAATGTGTTAAGCACTTGACTTCTAACCAGAAAGCTGGCAGGTTAAACTCTCCCTGGTAATCTGCCTCAGAAGAAAGCCTGGTAATCTGCCTCCAAGAGATCACAGCCATCCAAAACTCCATGCAGAACAAGCTCTGCAATATATGGGGTCATTCTACACTCCCTACACCTTTGGTGAACCAACTAGACAGCAACTGGTTTACATTTTCTTTGTTCATTTTTTGGTTTGGTAGCAAAGATGACTGCTCAGTATCTCCTGAATATTTCCTGTAATGACCTTGTTGCATATCTTTAATCATTTGATCTTTTCCACATGATGAGTATCAAGTGTTGGGCGATCGAGGGATCTTTTCCTCCAAAACTTGATTCAAAATGCCATCTTCTGTAAGATTGCTATGTGTCAGAGTGGACTCAATGGCAATGATTTTGGTTTCATAATATGCCTTTCTTCCCTGATCCTGCCAACTGAAATTATTCTCACCTCTGGAGTAGCTCTAAGTCTGTATTTCTCTTGTACTGATATCAGCTTCTATTAGATTGGTAAAGTTTTTTTTTTTCACCTTTTAAGATTTCACACGATGGACCTTTATAAGGAAAATGAAAATAAAGCTGTGTTGAACAAGATGAAACATTTTATAAATAAATATATTGTCTCTGTGTTCCTTTGAAAAGTACTTAGTATTCTTATAGTACCTTACACAAAATCTTTCTCTCAGTCAGAAATAAATGAAACTTCATATGGTTTAAGGCCACTGAGTTTGGAGTAAGAATTGGAAAAACTGGAATTTCAATCTGACTTTGTAAGCTTTGGGTGAAATCTTGGAGTGTTGGTATCTTTTCCTTTAAAATGGTGAGGATAATCTTTATTTTATATTATTTTACTGAAGAGTAAATAACTTAATCATAAAAAGTTCTTTGTGCAATTCATTAAATGTGTTAAATAAAATTTAAATGAGAATTTTCATTATTATACTATTTTATTTCTCAAGCTCGCTGGTTTCCTTGTGGACTTCTGAACAGGGCATAGATCATTAGCCTATTCTCCTTATACCTTGGATATAGTATGGATAGTAGATAAAAGATATGCATATCATTTAAACATTCCACAGTTCCTAATTTTTCAATAAAAAATCTTTAAATATGGACAAATTTGTTAATTTAATATTTTCATGTACACAAGATAGTGATTGTTATTATAGCAATCATGTTGTGCAACCATCCAAAGATCTACTCCTAGAATTTTTTTCTTGCTTATTTTGTAATTCAACACTATTGGATGCTCCATTAAAAATGTCATTTGAGTGTATTATACGATTCCACATGCCTCTTACATATTAACTCATTCTGGGTACACTGTGCGCTCTTCACAACCATCCATTTTGTAGCTCTACAGAAGAGTCTTTGGTGATTTGTGTGTACCACATGAGCCCTGTGTTCCCATCTGTTGATATGGATTTCCAACACAACTTATCTCAAAACGTTTTCTCCATATTCCCATCTGATGCAGATGCGGAGCAAAGCAGGCCAGAGACACCAGTGGGGGAACGGCAGCACTCTGCTGTGTCAGACCCAGGCAGCTATCTTAGCATTGTCTTGAGTTAAAGCCACACGATGCTTGGCTGCTTTAGAACCTGTACACTTTGTAGGAATATTACTATAAAATTGCCTGTAAAAGAATAAGTAATAAACAAAGAGCCTAAAATGCTAACTCACTTTTATTTTTTTCCAGGTTATCCAATGAATTCTTTATCTAAGTTAGATTTTCCTTACTGAAGTGTGGTTGAGAATAAACCTTGAAATTTGTTTTTAGACTCAGTTGTAACTGGGAGCTTTATTTAAGGAAAGTCGGTAATCAACCATTCTCTTGCTTTGTGGTATTCTGAATAGAAAAATAGTAATAATGTCTTTGCTTGGTGTCATCCACTTTGTCTGCTCCTCCCCTTTCTATCACCACTTTTCCTTTCTCTCAGGTATTGCCTTTCCTAATTTAGATTCTTCCTGAGTTATCAGTACACCTTGGGTTAGGCATACTGACAACACATGAAGCAGGCAATATAAAGAAGCAGAAGAGGTGTCTATTCCAGGAAGAGGTGGTAGGGGCAGAATGTAAAGTATCAGAGGACTCTTTATGCCTGTAGGCAGGGCAGGTACTTATTAGTTCGTTTTAGCTCAGCCTTGTAAGGCAGGGTTTATGTTCAACGCAAAATTCTCTTAGGAAGACATAGAGACACGTTTCAAGAAATGTGAGAGTGTTTTACACAGCAATGGCCCTGTCACTTGGAATCTATGATTGCAATCCCAGCTCTGGTACTCAGGTGTTGTGAGGTGGAGTGAGAGAGAGAGATGTCTGAGTCTCTTATCCAGCTCTTTCACTTCCCCTGCTGGTGTCCAGGGGCTTTCTAAGACATTTCTTCTTCCTGATGTACATATCACCTGAAGTTTATACTGATCCAAAGGAGTGAGTCAGATTTTCATCCTTTTACAGTGACCTAGGCAGCTGGGTGGTACACGTGGGCGAGCACTTGGCCAAAAGCTAGAGGTTAGAACTTAGTCAGAAGTGCCTTGGAAGACAGGCTTAAAGATGGGCTTCTGCAAAACCGCAGCCTGGAAACTCTAAGGAGCATAGGTCTGCTCTGCACATAGGATGACCAGGAGTTGGAATCAGCTCAACAGCGATGACTAACAACAACAACACCATCACCTAACGTTAATAATACATATTTCCTCAACCCATCTCAATTTTTTATTAAGCCACTTTACTATGGATGGGAAAAATATAATATGGCCACACCATGCTATGCTCTTCCTAGGCCATTTTCATAACTCAACATGATGAAATGGTTCGAATTCAAGGATCATACTAAAATCTGCACTTTAAACACAATCTTTTCCCCTGTGAATACACATAATATGTGAGGTATATTTAAAAAAGTATATGCACTTTAGTTAGATACCCCAAGTCCCAGGTTTATTTGGTTAATGTACTGGAATATGATTTTCTCAACTGTCTCCTTGTTCACCATCACCCCCATAGTGAATTTTATTGATATTTTTCCTTCTCTGTATAAAGGGACTTCAATAAATTCATAAAAAACTTCTATTATCTTTTAATTACATTTTTTATGAACTTTTGAACCCCTCAGTGGGTATTTCTTCTCCTTTTTGAACTCCTCTCCCATGTATTTCTTCTCCTAAGGAATGAGAAAGAACCTTAAGCCCTAGTCTAAATGCCTAAAATGGCCTTCATCTCTGTCGGCTGTGGAGAGGGAATAGATAGAGTGTGGATCTCATGGGCATAAATCATCCCTTGGTGCCTCAGAGGGGCTGCTTTTCTGGGCTGATAAATCTGGGGACAGGAGGTGTGTGAGGAGGATGGTGATGAGCCATGCATGGACCCAAGTATACAGTATAACCAGGGAGAAGAAATTGTTTTGTCAAATGTATGGCAGAGGTAGTGATACTGATTCAGCGTCTGCACAATGTCCCGAAATCAGGTGCATCCCTTATTTCCTATGGAAAAAAAGTTTTTATAGTCAATGTTAATACTCTCTTAGAAAATCTGGGATCTTCAGGTGAGGGGCCTTTGATGAAATCTATGCCTTTATTGTTATCTATGGAAGCTGGAGAGCCAGAGACCCTCAATGACTTTATGTTCTCAGTCTCCATAGAAAAGATTACCCTGGAAGCATCGGATGCATTAGGACTATTAATTCTAGTTCCCTTGATTATTCTAGCCTAGATTTCTATTTCACTCATCCTATCTTGGCTCCCATTGTTGTTTCCAGTGTCTCTTACTGGGATAGGGTACGATTTCCTATTACTCAAACCACTACGCTGCCCAGAAGACTCCAGACTGGGTGTGGAGTCAATTCTTTATTTGGGGGGCACTGATGGAGGAACAAAATGATACTCAACATATCAACTAGAAATCGAACTGACATTGCAGATTTATTTTGTTAATGTACTGAAATATGGTCACAGGTAAGTGTGCATGCTCTAAGAGGGTAAATTGTTTTTTAACCGGAATTTATGTTTCAAGCTTAACCTATAGCTATTTTCTAATTCTGATCTTATCTTTTGAACCTTAGCATTTTGGATACTTTAGGTGATAACATTCAGTTCCAGTACTTTTTGTGTAAAAGAATGGTATCTCTGCTTCCACCTTTGAAACTATTCTTTACTAAATAGTCAAGTTGATTCTAACAACAAAAACCTTGATTGCTTTAAAGCTGGGATAGAAGGACAAGAGATACCTAATCTGCATCTGCTGGTTTGCTGGAAAACACTGTTCTCTGGTGAAAGCTTGAATTGATCTATCCTGGGAGCTCTAGAGGAGCATCCTGCTGTTTTCTAGTGTTTATTAAATAGCTCAACACAAGGTCTGTAGTTCTTGGGAGGAAAATTAACCTGTCTGTTCCTGTAAAGATTTATAGCCTCAGAAATTGTAATTAGGGTACTATGATCCCCAATTAACTCAATGGCTATGGGTGGGTTTGTTTTTGACAAGAGGTGGAGATGCACTAATTACTTCTGTCTTTAGTGGGGTATTCCTATACTGGAGTCAGAAAGATCATGTACTACATGATCTCTAATGAGACTCACTCTGCTATGGAGGGTAGAGTGTGACAGTCAGCTAACATGAGGTCACGAGTAAGCAGGGGATGGTTTAAAACAAAAGGGCCTGAAAGTACGGGGGGGCGGGGGGTGGGTGAGGTAGAGGGAAGGGGCTGTGGGCCTAGGGTGGTTGGATCCAGTGAGGTCCCTGCCCAGAGTAGGTGGAAGATAATGAAAGGAGATGAGTGAGATCTCCACTCCAGCCAGCTGGTGGGAGTGTGGAAAAGTAGGTAACCTCCTGGTCCCCAGTCTGAAGTGATAGGGATGGCTTCATCAGAAAGGTGAGTTGAGCTGAAATGGTCAGAGAAATGAGGGGCAACAGTGTTGAAGGTGAGGCAGAGTCCCAAATCTCACACAATGACAATTTCACATGATGACCTGGTCATTAAAATCCCATTGATAAGCAAGGAATGGGTTCAATGTTAAGCTGACCCAGAAATGGAACCAAATGTAAGAAGTTCCCAAGCGTTATAAGATGTGATATAGTCAGCATCAAGACTAAATTCCTATGAAACGAAATAAAAGCATCATTTAGTTCCTCCAAGTGATCGACTTGTATTTCTAACATGATAACCACTAGCCACATGTGACTATTGAGAACTTGAAATGCGGATGTCTGAACTGCACTTTTCTGTAAGCATAAAAAATACAACTAATTTTGGAGATTTAGTGCAAGAAAAATAATGCAAATAGCCCCTTAAGGATATTTTGGATATTTTTACTTACATAACAAATTCTGAAAAATAGTGTCACCTTTCTCTTTTACTATTTTTAATGCAGTTATTAGGGATTTAAATTTTTCTAAAATCTCACTTAATATTTCTATTGGGCAATGCTGCTATAGACTATATGGAATGTGATTATAAATTAGGCAAAACAGAAGGGAATATTTGTTTCTTTCAACTTCTGAATCTGCCTTAAAACATTCAGACTTCGATCTGACCATTGGAAAACAGCCTTCTGTTCACTCAGAAAAGAACGAGAAGCCGAATCTAGGAACGCCCAGCAGTCATTAGGACTATTGTCATTTTTGATGAGAAAACCTGGCTGAAGTTGCGCTTCCTCCACTACATAGCATTTCCATGAGCACACTCTTGTGTGCCCCCCTCCTGATCCCCATCATGGAGACTTTCTCTTCATGAGTCCATGTGCTACCTGCTTGGCCTCCTTTCCCTGTTGGGTGTGGTAGTTGGACTTACTATTATACCTAATATCAACCAATGTTTTCAGATTAGTCTTAGCATGGCCGCAACATGACAAGCTAGCTCATAAGTGTCTCAAATGTATTTGCTATTGATCTTGGTGTTGAAAGCCAGGAATGTGTGGCTGTTTGGTTAGTATAGATTTATGACTGAAATGGGAATCCAGGTGAAATGAGACGAAGACAGCAGTGACTGCCATTCCTCACTATTGTCACAGTAGTCTTGGACCCAAAATATTGACACCTGAAACTTCCTGGTCTCATCTCAACTTTACCTTGGACAATAGGGTTTCTCCCCTGCACCCCCACCCCATAGTTTAAAAAATCTCCAAGTCTATATTTTCTTAGACCTTTTCAAGTTCCTATTAAGGAGCCCTTGGCACAATAATTAACTACTCAGTGGTGAAGCAACGGTCTGTGGTTTGGGAACCACCAGGTGTTCCATGGAAGAAAGTTCTAGCAGTCTGCTTCTGCCAAGATTTAGAGCATACATTTCCAAACTAAGCTGACCTACCACTTCTTTTTCAGAAAAAAAATTGCTTAGCACACCTCTGGCAATTAAAAACTTTAGTTTTATAGCTCATAATCTAGGATAAAGTATATGTATCTGTTTTTGCAGTCCTGAGTCATTCAGGGTCCACTCCCCTCAGAAGATGATATCACCAATTTTGAAAACCACTGATTTGGAGCCTCAGGAACTCTATGGTTGTTATGAGTTGAGATGGATTCAATAGTAACAGGTATGTGTTAGCAATGGCAATTATAACTCTAAAAATGTTTTCAAATATTCTGTTGTAGCACACTTAGGCTTGATGGCTTTCTTTTGTGGGGTATGTCTTGTAGCAAGGACAGACAGGTGTATTAATCTTTATTCTCTTCTTCAGCGCAGTTCTATTCGTTCTGATGTGTCTATGACTGATCTATTGTAGCAATATGCTGTGCACATGTATTTTTGTAGAAACAGAGAAAAATAAGTAGCTAAGACTTCTTTTTAGAGTGTGCTGCCATCGTTATGATTTTGTTTATTTATTTATCATGTATTGGGAGCTCTTACAGATATTATAACAGTCCATAATTCAATTAGATCAAACATAAGTGTACAATTGCTACCACCATCAGTTTCAAAACATTTTCTTTCTTAATGAACTCTTTGATACAGCTCTACTTTACTCCCGCCCTCCCCCACCCAATCCCCAGGAACACTTATTATTATATTATATATATGTATATATATTGCTGTATCTTACATCATCCAATGTGTCCAGTCACCTGCAATTCTGTTATTTGTTCTCCTTGACTATCACTGAGGTTTATATAAAATGACTTTATTAGCTTTCGATTTTGTCTCTCTCTGGAAATTATAATGATTATTCTCTTACAGGGAAAATTGTCTTATAATTTATCTGTCAAATTTAGGAACAACATAAATAGAAAAAATTTAAGGCAAATCAGGAAATATGTAATTCTACTAGTAGAACTTTTAACAGAATGGATGGGCTGAATAACTAAATCACTTAGAGTATTGCCCAACATTTGTCATTATTTTTCAATGCTTTTAAAGAAAATCTGCTTACTCATGGGTATTCATCTTTTCTGGATGTGTTTATTTCTGTTCTACTTCCCAAGGCATTCACAAGGGTCTGTTTCAAAGTATCTCATAAGGATACAGGACATGGCACCACCCAACAACTCCTCCATGGCTCCAATCTCTGAATTTGCTCTCATCTGCTTCCCTAACTTCCAGAGTTGGCAGCACTGGCTGTCCCTGCCACTCAGTATCCTCTTTCTCCTGGCCATTGGGGCCAACACCACCCTCCTGATCACCATCCGACTGGAGGCCTCCTTGCACGAGCCTATGTACTACCTGCTCAGCCTTCTATCCCTATTGGACATTGTGCTTTGCCTCACAGTTGTTCCCAAGGTCTTAGACATCTTTTGGTTTGACCACAAGTCTATCAATTTCTCTGCCTGCTTCCTCCAGATGTTCATTATGAATAGTTTTTTGACAATGGAATCCTGCACATTTATGGTCATGGCCTATGACCGCTATGTAGCCATTTGCCATCCCCTGCGATACCCATCCATTATCACTGATCAATTTGTGGCGAAAGCTGCCATCTTTGTTGTAACACGGAGTGGCCTTCTTACTATGCCAATCCCGATACTCTCTTCTCAACTCCGATATTGTGCGAGTAACATTATTAAGAACTGCATTTGTACTAACATGTCTGTGTCTAGGCTCTCATGTGATGACACTACCTTTAATCAGCTTTACCAGTTTGTAATTGGTTGGACTCTGCTGGGCTCTGACCTCATCCTTATTGTTATCTCCTACTCTTTCATCTTGAAAGCTGTGTTTAGAATTAAAGCTGAGGGAGCTGGGGCCAAGGCCCTGAGTACCTGTGGTTCCCACTTCATCCTCATCCTCTTCTTCAGCACGGTTCTGTTGGTTCTCGTCATCAC